AGCCTTCCTCTGGAATCGCCCTCAGCGGCGTGTGCTGCAGAGGCTGCGGGTTGGGGTCCTCGCTGGACTGGACGAAATCGTCCAAGTAGAAGTGGCTCGTGACGAACGTGGTGGCCTTGCGGTCCGGCTGGTCCAGGGGCAGCGGCTCGTTCCGCTCCAGGTAGCCCACAACCTGCTCGAAGCGCGGGCGCTGATTGAAGCCGTGGGACCGAAGCGTCTTCATCTCTTTATGGGTTACTGCGCGGCAACTTCGCCCGCTGCGCGTTCGACGCCCCTGCGCCTCCGTCAGCCGGCTCACATCGTCCAGGTGCCGCTGCCCCTCTTGGGCCAGCCTGCGCTCGCCAAGCCAGGCGTTGAAGGCCCTCGCCTCCTCCAGCTCTCGCTGGCGCTTCAGCAGCAGCGGCTGCAGGTCGTAGCTGGGGTACGTTTTGCGAAACCACCGGAGCATCTGCGGCTCGTTGCGAGGCTCGATGGACATCATCTTGCTCTTTACACCAGTACGCTAGCTCCCGCCGTCAGCCGGTCGTACGCCGACTGCCTCTCCAGCATGCGCATGGCGCGCTCGCTCGGCCGAGGCGCTTCTACAGGCTCGGGCCGTACCTCTCTGTGTACCTCGGGCTCGGGCTGTACCTCGGGCTCGGGCTGTACCTCGGGCTCTAACTGCGGCTCGGGCACGGGCGCTGCCTTGGGCGCAGCCTTGGGCTTGGGTGCTGCCTTGGGCTTGGGAGCTGGCGCGGCAACTGCCTTGGGTGCTGCCTTGGGCTTGGGAGCTGGCGCGGCAACTGCCTTGGGTGCTGCCTTGGGTGCTGCCTTGGGATGCTGCCTTGGGTGCGACTTGGGTGCTTGTCTTGGGCGCTGCCTTGGCCACGGGTTTGCTGCCTTGGCCACGGGCGCTGCCTTGGCCACGGGTGCTGCCTTGGCCACGGGTGCTGCCTTGGGTGCAGCCTTGGGTGCCGTCTTGGGCTTTGTGGGAAATCTCACCCTCTTGGGACGGAAGGGGGAGTCCGCCTCATACGCCGGCTCCGTGGGCAGGTCGTCGATCATTTTTTTTCTCTTCGCCAGGTCGTCGATCATTTTTTTGCTCTTCGGCAGGGGCAGCTCGGGCGGCTTCGGCTTGTTTTTACTACCCGGAGGTCTGCCTCTAGGCCTTGGCGCCGGTTGCGCTTGCTTCATCGGTTTTTTAATAGAATATATTTTTTTAAAGACCTTCGGGGAATTAGACGTGATCCAAAAACAGCACGAAGGACAAGGACGAGCCCCGCAGTCGGACGACTTGGCCTTCCAGGTCTGTCAGCCGGAAGCGCAGGTGTCTCTGGGTGATGGGGCCCCTAACGGCCATGAAGTGCCCGTCGTCGGAGCCGGTCTCCACTATGGTGCCCACGCCGCTCTTCAGCGTTCTCTTGGACAGGATGTCGTCCCCCAGATTGCCCAGCACGCGGCTGGCGTTGGCCAGCTGGGGGCAGCGCAGGTAGACCTCGTTGTAGCAATTCATGCGCACGAACTCGAAGACCTGCTGCCCGCCGGAGACGAAGCTGGGGCCCAGCATGTGATCGATGCTGAAGGGCTTGGATGGCGAGGCGGCCGGCGAGGTGGGGTAGTCCACAGCGTTAGGGAACTGCTGCTGCAGCTCCAGATCGTTCAGAATGAGGCGGTTGCCGTCGTAGGATACGCTGAGGCTGTTCGTGGTCTCGCTGTAGGTAGCAGTAGCGAAGTTGGAGCTGATCCAGGCGGCCAGCCGGGAGCCCGTGTAGGCGCCCTCGGGCAGCAGCGCCCAATTCAGCGTGCCGAGCGCGGCGTCCACCCAGTAGAGGTAGCGACCGCGATCAGTCGAGAGGAAGCTGTCCGCGATTCTGATCTTATAGACGGCCAGCCTGGCGTCGCTCTGCAGGTGCAGGGACTCTCCCAGGTCTACCTCGAAGTCGCTGTCTGAGCCGGCTAATCTCTTGCGGCTGTCCACGTAGATCGTCGTCGTTCTTTTCTTTAGGAAGCCACCCGTTCTGCGAACGACGGGCGGCTGGACTGCTGCGACGGAGGTGCAGCAGGAGATATTCTCGCACCGTGCGCTGATCAGTGTGGAGCTAGCGAACAGCTTCTGGCCCAGGAAGCTGAGCGCCGCTCCCATCGGCTTCTCTTTCCAGAGCGAAGCGCTCTTCGAAGCGCAAGTAGAACATCTCATTCTTTGGCTTGAGGTAGTAGACGAAGAGGAAGCTGTAGGGCTCTCGGGTCGCCTGCTCGTAGATCCTGTGCAGCTTGTCCTTCGGCAGCAGGGCGCTGAGCTCTTCGATGACGGCCTCCAGCTCGTGCTGGTTGCGCAGCCTCCAGCAGCAGAGGAATTGCTGATTGACCCGCACGGCTGCGCTGATTAGTCTCAGCTTCTGTGAGCTCACCCAGGTGCTGATTTGGAGGTGCCGACCCCTGATAAAGAGCGTGTCCAGGGCGCCGTGGGCCTTGTGCAGCTGTGGGCTATCTGCGAAGTCGTCGCAGATTATCAGCACCTGATACAGCTTCTTCATCTCCAACTTCTTGGATGTCTCGGTGATCTTGCGCTGCCTCTGGATGATGTCCCGCAGCGCTGCCTCGTCCCACTCGTCGTAGTAGGCCCTCTCCCGTTCGGTATTCACCCCCAGGTCCTCCTCTATGTACTTCTTGACGGGGATCCAGCCGTCGTCGATATTGATGGACGGACTGAAGATATAGATTTTCTCGAAGACTCCGCGGTATTGCTCCAGAATCATGCTGATCAGCGCCACGGTTTTGCCGGACTTGCTGGGGCCGAGGAAGATGCCCGTACATGGTACCAGGGGCACCACGGGGTCCGAGGGCTGTTTGCTGCTGTACTCTGCCGTAGGAAACAGCTTGATCTTCCCCATCTCCTTTGCCTTACTTCCCAAATTCGACGCGGGGAAGCCGGGCAGTGAGACCGGGATGAATCTAAAGGCTGGCATGCGGCTGAAGTATGGGAAGCAAATCGTGGTTGGCCCCACACGTGGACCGGCTGCTGGGGGACGTCGCTGTGCTTCACTCTCCCTTCTTCGGCTCTGGAAAGCTGGAGTACTACCTCGCAACCCGGCGTCCGGCCCTGGAGGTGCGTGGTGTCGACGCCTTCGAGCCCGTCGCAAACCTGCACCGCTGTTACTTGAGACGAGAGCCGGTCTTCCTGCGCTCCTTGCTGCGCCTGGCGGGGCGCAAGATAGACAGGCGCTTCTACTTCAGTCGCCTCCTGCCGGGCACTCAGAGAGGCCGCGCCGGGCGCCGGGCCGCCTGCTCATACGTCCTGCTGCGCAACAGCTTCTCGGGAAAGTGGGGCTCCTTCGCACAGCAGCGGCCACTGGCGCTGAGCAGCGTGCGGCGTCTGCAGCGGCCGCCCACAAACGTGACCGTGCGATGCCAGGACGCCAGCCAAGCGCCGCGGCATTGTATCTACGCCGATCCTCCCTACATCTTCCCAGGCCGCAGCATGAACTACTATGGCACGAGGAGGCGGGGGCATGACCTGGCCTTCCACTCGGAGCTCCGAGACGCGCTCTTCGCAAGCGGCCTGCCCTTCCTGGTGAGCATCAACGATGTGCCTGAGGCCTGGGAGCTCTACAGCAGGGCCGGCTCCATCACAAGGCTGTGCTCGGGCAAGAACAGCTCCAAGCCAGAGCTGCTGGTGCTGCATCAGGGCAATCCTGCTGTGGCGACAGGATTGAATGGAGCAATCCTGTTGCCAGCGCAGGATTGAGGCAGCAATCCTGTTGCCAGCGCAGGATTGAGGCAGCAATCCTGTGCCCAACGCAGGATTGCCAGGCCCGCACCAGGCCCGCACGTTGGCGTGGAATTTGTTTCGGGGCATGTGTGTTTTTTTTTCCGACACACCTTAGACTTTGCTGAAGGAGCTCAAACGGTGAGCTTCTTTAAATTCGCTGTAGAGAGGCATGAGGCGATGAATTGGAAGTGGAGGATAAAATCACCCACTGGGCATGAGGCGATGAATTGGCCGAAGTGGCGCAGTGTCCTATAAGATCGGACTCTGGGCATGAGGCGATGAATTGGAGGTGTGGTATAAAATTGAGGGAAAATAACCTCCAATTAGAATTCCCGTGCTACCACACGAACTCGCTTTTCCATTGCGCACTTTTCGGCCCCAAAGAGAGTCGACTCGCACGCGAAGTCTGGGCATGAGGTGGGGGTAAAAAACCTCCACTTAAAATTCCCGTGCTACCACACGAACTCGCTTTTCCAAGCCTTTTGCGCACTTTTCGGCCCCAAAGAGAGAGCGGTGACGAAGCGGTGACATCGTCGATGACCGTGTTTTTGGGCCAAAAAGCGCCGTTTTGGACTGGTAGCGAGAGCCCATGGTGAGATGGCTTAGGCGTTGCTTTGCTCTCCGTAGCGACGTTTCGGAGGCTCGATTCCTCCCGGGGCCTCGGCGGGCTGACGTGTTAGAGACCGGTGACATCGGCGGTGACGAGCTCGGCGGGCTGACGCGTTACGTGGAAAAACCTCGGCGGGCTGACGTGTTACTCGGAAGCACCTCGGCGGGCTGCCGCGTCAGACGCTGGCTGGCTCTGGGCTGTGCCTCGGCGGGCTGACGTGTTAGAGACCGGTGACTTCGGCGGTGACAAGCTCGGCGGGCTGGAATTCGCAGGTTTTTCGGGGCAGAATACGGATTTCGGAGCATGGCGAACACCTGGAACCGGTTTTCGGAGGAAAACGAGCGAATTTGGAGGCCCGGGCAGCACTTTTGACGCCGGACACGAAAAAACGCACTTTTCGGAGTTCGCCGTTTTCTGCGCTTTTTGCACCCAAAACGGAGTGGTGACATTGACCGGTGACATCGGAAAAACGTTCAGCGGGTTGAAGAATTTGGCTGTTTTGCAGGGTTTGGGGACCAAAAAACCAAAATTAATAGGATACTATAAGCAGATGTTCCTTACTACTGTAGTCGCCCCAAATGCGGCTCGACCGCGAAGACAGCTCGTTAACGCACCTCTTCTCATATTCCTCCCAGGCCCAGGCCTCGGAATCCCTTTCCATTGCAAGGCAGGCGTTCTGCCTGGGTCCTTGGTCCTCGTCGAAGCTGCTGGGCTCCCAGAGGACGTGAGTCCACGCGGACTGCCAGACGATGGCGCCCTTGGGGCTCGTGTGCACCTCGCCCAGGGCGACGCTAGTGGCGATGGTAGTCATCTTGACTCTTGCTTGCCAGTCCTTTTTCTATAGGGCGGACAACAAAATGGTTCGACCAAAGCGACGGCCCTCGGCTCACGCGGCTCGAGGGCCGCCATTTCCGGAAAAAACACCTTTTTGTTTGTTCTTCCGTAAATTCCGTTTTGCGTGGTTTTTGAGCGTGATTTTGCATGACAGGTGCCGGTGTTGTGTTTTTCTCACGATTTTCACGTTGTCGGTCGTGTTTGGAAAGAGCTTCCCCAAGCACGTGAGCCTTGTGAAGGCGAGATTCGGGGACGTTCTGGGGTCCGGGCGGCAGGGAACCGCTCGCGGGTGCAAAGGCGTGGTTCCAGACTCACAGTTTTTCTTGACCTCACGTGCCCTGTGCCCAGACTTCGACGTGCAGATCTTCTCGCAGCGCCGCGCTTTGGAGTTGCCTTTTTGTCACTTTTTGTTGGCCGCTTGCAGGTGGATCCAATTCGTGCTACTGGGGACTTTTTGGCTGGGCACCTGTGCGGATTGGTGTCAACTCGGCCTTTGAGCAGTGTTTCAGGTTTGGTCCTGGATTTTGAAGGTCGTTTTCGCGCTTCCCCGTGCCAGGCTTTGTTTTGACATCGAGGCATACTGCCCGGGCCTTCGCTGCTTCCGTTGTCATGGCCATCAATGCCAACTGATCTTTGAGGTTTGGGTCCCAACTCGCCAATCTGTCAGGCCCCCTGATCTTTGGCCTAGCGAGGCCCGGACACCCCCCCCGTCCCGTGCCAGGATTTGCGCGACTCGCGTTGCTTTTTTGTGTGCTTTTCCCAACCCCGTCAAGCCGCGCCGTCAGGCCCGTGTATCTTTGGAAATCGTGACCTCGTTGAGCCAGGCCCGCATTTTGTATTGTCTCTCCAACCTGGTGAACCCTTGACCTTGAGAGCGATTGCCCCAACCCCGTCAAGTCGTACTGTCAGGTTTTTTGTAAGTCAGGCAGCGTGGTTTCCTCAAAATCGCATTTTTTTTCCTGGCGCTCAGGCACTCCGAACTTTTGAGCTTGCGCCTCGAGCTCCACGTTCCGCCCGGGCCCTCGCCGCGTTCCATTGTCATGGCCAAGAGGTCCCGTGCAGGTTATTGTCATTTGATCTTTGTCACCAATCTGTCAGCCTCCTTGATCTTTGACCCAGTGAGGCCCTGACGGTCCGTCCCGAGGGTCCCTGGGGTCCCTAGGGTCCCTGGGGTCCCTGGGGTCCCTGGGTCCCTGGGCACGCGGGCGTCCGCTGCAGGTGCCATGAAACAACGTCCTTCCATCAAGACGTCGCGCCAGGGTCCCAAAGTGCATCCATCCTTGTCAACACACGGCGTTTTCAGGGATTTTAGCGACCCCAGAAACCTTACGGACCCTAGGGACCTCAGGGACCCTAAGGGACCTTAGGGGCCCCAGGGACCTTAGGGACCCCAGCAACCCTGGGTCTTGGGAAGTCATCTCTCAAGCTTCGGTTGGTTGCAGCTTGCCACGCAAGGAGACACAAAGACGCGCGGAAGGGCAAAGCTTCTGTTGTTTTTCCATTCGAGCAACTTTCCATACATCTATTTATCTTCGTGTACTCATATCTATTTATTTTCATACATTTGTATATTCATATCTCTACGTATTTGTATCTCTTTATGAATTTAATACATTTATATCTTTGTATTTCTACAAATTCATATCTTTATATCTTTGTATCTTTATACCTTTCTCTTTATATCTTTATATCTTTATGTCTTTGTGCCTTTATGTTGGTATGTCTCTACATGATGTTTTCTACATCCGTGTTTGTAGTTGGGAGATGATGTTGTGGTTTTGTGGCCCATTTGCAATGTGTGTGTGTGTCTTGGCTTCGGCATTTTGTGTTTTTGCATGACCCTATGATGCTGGAGAATGCCCAGGCTGAGTGGTGCCCGGCGTGAAGTTCTTGCCAAGATCCCTTCAAGCCCCAAAATCCTTGGGGCCACCAAGGATCTCTTGAAGTCCCTGGGTCGCTGGGTCCCTGAAGTCCTCGGAGTCCCTAGGGTCCCTAGGGTAGGGTTTGCAGGGTTGCTAGGGTCCCTAAGGTCTCTAAGGTCCCTAAATTCCCTAAGGTCCCTAAGGTCCCCAAGGTCCCTGAACCCGCCGTGCGTTGACAGGGACGAGCGCACTCTGGGGCCTTGGCGAGGCGTCTGATGCACATGTGTGCAGGGACCCCAGGGACTCTAGGGACCCTAGGGACCTTAGGAGGGACCCAGGGACCCCAGAGGCCCCAGTGATTGCAGGGACCAGGGACCCCAGAAACCCCCGCCCTTCAGCCCCTGGCGGCCCGGTGCCGATTTCGGCTGCTTGTTTTGCAGGCAGGCCAGTTTGGTATCTCGCTTGGACTTTGATGCAGCGGCAGGATGTGGGTGAGCCAGTCTGACGGATGGACGCTGCGAAGCCTTGCAAGGCTTGGCCCGACCGACCTTCAGGCCGCGAGTGAAAAGGAGGAGGAGCATCCAAACCCGTGCGTTGGTGTTGCCAAAGAAGCCAGTCAATCTTGTGTTTGCTCTGGAAACTTGGCTCGAGGGTACTCATCAACACTGACACAACAACAGCTCGCAAGGTTGCCCGATGGGTCTAGCGCCAGTGCTTGAGGAATCGCAGGCCGCTCAAGCGCTTTTCGAATAGCCATGGCGATGATGCGGACCAGGACCAAAAGCCGAGGCTGGCAAGCTTGTGACGCTACCGTGCCCGCGGTAGGCAGCGGCCAGGTATGTGCCTCTGCCTTCTCGGGATTGCATTGGCGCTGCTCGTGCAGCCGAGCACGGCCTGGGTCTTGGGACACATTTTTTTCGAAGGTTTTCGGGTTTCAGGAGTCCCTTGTCGCCGCCGCCCAGGACTTTGCTCGAGGAGTTCCTGGGCTGAAGGAGCATGAAGTCCCTCCTTTGGATGTTCTTGTTTCGTGCTGAGTGCCAGGACAGCATATTGGCCCAGTTCTCAGAGTTGCCCGCAGGCGCAAGCAGATTGCACTTTGGCTCTTTCAGGCAAAACGGCACCCGTTGCATGCCGGAGTCGCTCGGCGCGCCGGGGCTGCGCAAGAGGACTCCTCCGACCCGAAGCCTGTTCGCATCTTTTGCCGGTTGCCGCCAGGACAACAGTGGCCAGGCCTGGGGGACACGTGCATCGGGCTTGAACGTTGGGCTTGTTGGTTGTCAGGACCGGCTCGATCTCGAGGAGGCGGCGGGCCTTCAGAGAAAGCGACGTCCCAGCCTTGTCTCGCTCAGGTGGTCGCAGAAGCCAAACGGGTTGTGGACAACGGCACGCTGAAAGACATGCAAGTGGTCATGCGCCGCTTTAGCAGCACGTCAATACGTTCGTTGTGGATTTGCAGGCGCGGTTGAGCTCAGGAAGAGTGCAGCTGGTAGATCCAGCAGGGAAGTGGAAGGTTTGGGTTAATGAGCCCGAATTGGAGAAGCAGCTACGGAAGTTTGTGGCAGAGGCAGCAGTGTTTGCTTCCTTTACCAACAGGTCAGATTCAGAAGCGCTTTCGTGACATTTTCAAAATGCACGTTTGTTGTGGGTGCTTTTCAGGCCAAAGCAGCCAAAACGGCATTGGAGGAGGCCGTCCGTTCGAGCGCGTTCGAGCGCTCGGCGTGGGAGTCGGCCTGGGCAGGACCTGCTCCTGGCGCGACAGCAGCGGAAGACGGGCCAGCGGCAGGTTGAGAGCGCCCAGCGGCAGGTTGAAAGCGCTCAGCGGCAGGTTGAGAGCGCCCAGCGGCAGGTTGAGAGCGCCCAGCGGCAGGTTGAGAGCGCCCAGCGGCAGGTTGAGAGCGCCCAGGAGCAGGAAGCGATGGCGGTGAGGCGTCTCGCTCGAGCTGCCACCGTCTTGGAGACGGCGGAGGACTCGGGCAATGCGACAAAGGTGCAGGAGGCCAAGGAGGAGGTGGAGAAGGCGGAGAGGAAGGTGGAGAGGGCGGAGAGGAAGGTGGAGAGGGCGAAGAAGGAGGTCCAGGAGGCGAAGAAGGAGGTGGAGAAGGCGAAGAAGGAGGTCAAGGAGGCGAAGGCAAGCGGCCGGACGAAGGAGTCCGAGGCGGGCGGAGTCGGTCGCTTCCGCCGGCCGGCTGCGTTCTGAGCCGTTGGTCGTTGTGTGTGGTTTTGAAAATTCCCCCCGCGGCCCGCACATGGTTTTGGTGGGGCTGCCCTGATCGCATCCAGAGAACCAGGAAATCCCAAGATAGCATTTTTGCAGATTGCGGCGGTTCGTGTCGTTGGCAGGCTCGGTAGGGACCCCCCATGAACGGATGGTTGCCTTTCCTTGTTGGAGGTCGGGGTTTAAAGCTGGTCGACATTGATTGAGACGTGCCGTTGATCGTTGTGAGTGATTTTGTGCTTGCCCCCAGCCTGCTTTTGAAAGAGCAAGACCTGCCCGTCTGCCGGGGAGAGGGAGGGCAAACTCTGATGTCTTTGCACCCATTGGGGCCCTTGCTGCTGCAGGCACAAGTGCATTCTATGAATGTTCTCTTTGATGCAGTGAGCTCAACCATTCCCGGCTTTGCATCCACTCGCAGTGTTCTTGCTCGATGTTTTGCCCGTTTTGCTGCCATTCCATCCCCTTCTGTTGTTCAATTTTCTCCGTACCTGTTCATATCTGCCTGATTTGGCGTGAGTGGTTAGTGGAGCGCAAAACTATCAAACAGTCGAGGGGGAACCCGCAAATATTGAAGAGCCTGCTGTTCCAGTCGCCTGCCTTTTGAAGAGCAAGACCTACCCTTCTGCCATGGTCGTTGCTGCTGCAGACACAATGCAATCCGAAGGTTAATTTTGTTCCGACAGCACGAGCATGGAGGAGATTGCTAAAGTGTGCACAATGTATTTCTGCTGCCGGGTGACGTTGAGACGTGCCGTTTGACGTTTTGTGTGGTTTTGATTTCCCCCGCGGAAATGCTTTCAGTGGGGCTGCCCTGATCACATCCACAGAACCTCAACATATTTGACGCCACTCTCCCCCCTCATCAACCTTGTCGGGGTTCCTGGGAACTCAGTGGTTTTGCTCAGCGTGGAGCCCCACAAAAGGATTGTTGAGCTGAACCACGCATCTCCCGCTTTGCTTTCATGGGCAGTGTTCCTGCTGGAAATTTGGTTTTGTTTCGGTTTTGGTACCCTTGTGTTCCTTGCTTTCCTAGTGCTCGGCTTTCGCACTAAGTACGGTCCACCTTTTTTACTTTTTGGGGTCATGCTCTCCTCTCAGCAACGGTCCCCTCGTCGTTAAGCTTCAGTGTTTTGGCTTGCAGAGGGCTCTTGGCTGCTTTAGGTTCATGCAAATCTGGTTGCTCTTTGTGTTTGGCTGATGCTTCAGAACGGGGTGTCAGTCCTAGGTTCGAGGTGGGGAGGTCAGCCTGTTTTGCGCTCGCTTTGCGCTCGCTCTCCAGGTTGCGGTTGCTTTTGTTTGAGGCTCGACTTTAAGGTTACTGTGGGGGGGTCAAGCGAGTCAACCCTGAGTTCTTAGTGCTTGCCTTCAGCGCGCGGACCTTGAGAGCAGTGGGGTTCTGGAAGGGCTTCTGCGTGGGCATGTTGCCTTCGGTTTGTAGCACTCCTGCTTGTCCGGGGCTCTTGGTCGTCGTGCGTTTTCATGCGGTCCACCGTTGTTGCTTTTTGGCGTGATGCTTTCCTCTCAGCAAGGATCCCCTCGTCGTTAGGGTGTCTGCACTGTGTTGGCTTGCAGCAGTTCGGGGAGTGGGAGAGGCTTTCGGAGCGACGGCTCTTGGCGGTTCACAAAATCTGGTTGCACCCGTTCGTTTTGTCGAGTGGGAGGCACCTTTGCGGCTCAGGCAAAGGTTTCCTGCAAATCTGTTGCACCCGAATGCGGAGGGGTATCCTGTTTTCTCAACCCTGCGTTCATTCAGTCAAACTGGAGGTGAGAGAGGATGCGTTGCTCTCAGGCTACGGTTGTTTGTGCGCGGGAGGCTGTGGTTATGCATCTGTGTTTGTGTGCTTGGCCACCCTGCTGTCGCGATATCCTCGGTGGCTTTCTTGGTTTGTCGGGGTTGGGCTGTCGGCACAACCTTCGAGGTCAGACTGTGCGGGCTGTTGTTTAGCTTCAGCTTTGCAGCTGAGCTGCAATCTGGGAATGGATACCAGGCAGACTGGTTGTCGGGATTGGCTTTGGGAGCGGGTCAGGCAACCAAGACAAGTTCATTGTTTTGGGGTGCAGGGCTTAGGCCGTCGGGAGGCGTCTCCAGCTTTGTTGTGCGCAGGCGTCCGCCTCGAGTAGCCTCAAGTGGGTCGTGGACGCCAAGGACACGGCATTTGCCAACGAGCTGCGCATGGCTCAGCCGCTGACGGCTCTGGACTGCGCTGATGAGAATTTCACCGACGTAGAGTCCGCAGAAGATGCCGGTATCGAGATCTTCCCGTTGAACGCCAGCTTGGATCCGAAAGAAGCCAAGCCATGGCTCTTCGTTCGAAAGCAGCAACGAGAGGTCTGGCAGGCGGCCTTCAATGCGTCGCAGGATGTGGTGGTGACCGGCTCGCCCGGCATCGGCAAATCCTTCTCCATGTCCTTCTTGTTCCGCGACCTCATGAAAGCAAAGAAGACCTTTGTCTTCGAAGCACGCAGGTGGAACATGGTGTACTTGTTCAAGCCGCGCACCGACGGCACCTACGAGGTCGGCAGCATGCAACTGGAAGACTGGAAACCGGCAGCGTGTGACGAGCTGAGAGTCCCTGCGAACTACTATGTCATCGACCCCGGCGAGGCTGAAAAGGGAGGCGTCTGCTTCGTAGCGGCCAAGACTGTCATTTGCCCGTCACCGGATCCGCAGCACCTTGGAGAGTTCAAGAAGCTCCCCAAATGCAAACTGTACATGGCAGCTTGCTCCTTGCAGGAGGCCCAGTGCATAGTCAAGTACCTCCGCCCCAACTTCGACCAGAACCAGGTGGAAGAGCTCTACAGGCGATTTGGTGGTATTCTTCGACACCTGATTGGCGACCCTAAGGAGGTGGAGATGGCTCGCAATGCAACCCTGTCGAACCAGAACTTGGTCAGGCAAGTTTGGACATCGGGCATCATTGATCAGGGACGTGATTTGAAGCCTGCGCACTGGCTCTTCCAGATAGTGCCGGAAAACGGTTGCACCAGCAGCAGGGTTGAGTTTGTTAGCGAAGAGGCACTCGACCTCACCATTCACGAGTATGAGGCGGAGCTGGCTGACCTTTTGACATCGTTTGATCCGCTTGCAAAGCCCGTCCTCGGAGTTCTCTACGAACGCTTCGCCCACCAAGTGCTCTGCCGGGGGACGTTGCTGCTGACGCGGCTGGCCAACGTCACCGTTCCCATGTTCGAGATGCAGCTTCCACCACTCGATGAAGAGGTGGTGGACGGCAGCATCGCCGATCTTTTCACAGCTGCCACCACTGGGCAGCTACGATACATGCGGCCCAGAGATGTGGGCCTGCCGGTCATTGATTCATGCCTGGCTCCTGTTGAGGACCCGAACAGCATGTGTTCTGTCAAAGTGCCTGCGCTGGTGTGCAGTGCTTGCGTTTTGTGCCCCTGGTTTTTCCCATACCCCTAAGGACGGCGTGATGACATGCTTCCAGATCACCGTCAGCGCAAAACACTCCCTGGATCTTGTCGCCTTGGAGAATGCTGCACGGGGTCTTGACATCGCCAAGATTGTTATTTACTGGGTCGTTCCCAGAGACAGCTTTCGAGAGTTCAACCGCAAGCAGACGTTCGGGCCTCAACTTGTATTCGAGCAGCGCGTCCTTTCGCTCGCTGCTCCCCGCAATCCCTTTACCGAGCAGGAGATGCAAGAACGGTTGCAGAAGGCTGAGCTCTCTAAGCTTACCACAGGAGACGAGCAGCTCCTCAAGCAAGAGATTGATGACCTGAAGCTCCGGTACTTGGTTATGAAATCTTTCGAAGAACAAGATGTCAAGGACATAATGAATAAGGTGTTAAAAGAAGGGAAAAGAGCGAAAAACCAGGATCCCGTGGCTCTGCGCGCAGCACGAGCTTGGGATAAGATTGTTGCCTGTATGGCTTGGACAAAAAAGAGAGGCGAGTGCAAGGGCACAGTTGGCCGGTGGATTTGCTTTCCACTGCTTTAGAACAGCGCGAATCATGATTTCATGTCGCATATCTTTATCTTGACATTCAGCGCACTCAGGCTCTCGACACATGGAGTTTTTGCATAGAGTTTGCTGCAAGCTGGACCATCACACTGACACGACAATGCAGCACTCATCGTCAGAATATCGCTCTTTCGGTTCAAGTCTGCAGCACACATCTGCGTGTTGGAGTTCCGGTTCGAGTCGGCGCGCATCGGTGAAATTTCGGCTAGTCTTTTGGAATCTTTCTGGAATCTTTCGACTCTATGTGTTGAGTCTTTGTAGAGTATCTGTGCAAAACGCAGTCTTTTTGAAGTCTTTGTATTTCTCGAGTCTAGCACTCATCATTTGACGGCTGTGGCGCTTTCCGAGTCGAATCTTATGAGGACGACCCGCCCAAAGCCGTAGTGGAAGTCTAACCTTCAAAACTCCACCCCGCCAGGCCGCACTATGGCCCAAAAGATTTTGCGAGCTTTTTTCGCGCACTTTTGGGCCTTCTAGAAGCCAGCGCTGGGGCTGCAGGGCCGCGTTTGGGAAAGGGTTGGAGCCGGGGCGGGGCGGAAGGACTTACCCCGGGAACGAAACAGCCGGGGGGCACGCTGCAACGGGGGTAGTTTGGAAAGCCAAATATAAGACAGAGGGGGGGGGCTCCACCCTCCCTCAACCCCCCCCGCAGGGAAGGCTGCGCTCCCCCTCAACCTCTCCGCTTTTTTTATAAGCCGAACACGTACGCGGTCAAATTCGAAATTGATTCTTCTGGCTTATACTACTGCCAAAAATGAGGATGCTCTTCACTGCGCTACTACTCCCTCTTTGACTTAACTGATCTTCCATTTGCTTAAACAGGTTCATGGAGGTGTGAAAGTTACCAAAAAAAACTAATCTTTTCTCTTGCTTAAGGAGGTCTAAGATGAAATCCCCTTAAAACCACCATTAAGCTAACTCTCTTTAACAACTCTTTTTCTTTCTCGCTTACTGACATCAATAAAAGAGGGCGTGATTTTCATATTTTCGCTTTACGATGTTTTAAAGAGGGCAGATTTTCATAACAAGCTTCCTTCTCTTAGGCACTTCTTGAGTCTTTCGAAAAGCCCACAAGACACTAACTCCCTTCAAGTTCTCCTCTCAAGTTCTCAACTCTCTAAGCTTCTTCCATCAGTTTCCCCTAAAGCGGTCCCTAATTCTCTTTAAGCCATCTCTTAAGCCTTCTTAAGTTCCATCAAACCTGCTAAAAAAGAATGCGGCTTGAAGGAAGCTTTAGAAGAGAGTTGAAGGGGAACTTGAGAAAGAAGACTTCTCAAAATTGAATTCGAGGAAGGTTAGAGGGGCGTCGAAGGGAGTCGAACATTGAAGAGGGTCGAACATTGAAGGTTTGACAAGAGACTTCAAGGAGGGTTTGAGAAGGGAAGTTTCTCAAAGAGGCTTCAAGGAGGCTTCAAAAGCTTCAAAGGGGAGGCTGAATTCTCGAGGGAGCTTCAAGGGGTCTTCCAAACCTTTGAAGGGGATTCAAGAGGTTGGAGAAGAGGCTTCAAAGGGAGTTTGAGAAGAGAACTTCTTAAAGAGAGCTTTTGAAAGTTTGAAATTGTTTAGAATTCTCAAAGGGACGAAAACACCTTTCTTGAATTCCTTTTAAGCTCCTTGAATTAATTCCTCAAATTCAATTTGTGTGAAAAGACACCAGTTCAGCTGGTAGTATTTTTGGTTGTCCTGAAGTCGTGAGCTTGTATAGTGCATGCGTTTTGCCCACTCGCTTTGTTTGTGTTTTTGTTTGCGCGAGCTGTTGTTGTTAGTCGAAACGCTTTTGTGAAGCTTTTCCTTTGGGAAGCTGTGTTGAAGCTGTTAGGAAGCATGTTGGCAGTGTAGAGTGTGCTGCATCTTGGTAGGTAGTTTGTAGGAGTGAGCAGGAGGAGGACCTGTTTGCTGCTTGAACGCTTTTTGGAAGCACACAGACAGTTTTGGCAGAGCAGAAGTGTTTTGAGTTGGTAGGAAGAGTTTTAACGTGTTTTGGAAAGCCACGTTTCACGCGAGTGTTTTGCTGAAGAGTTTTGCTGCGCAGGTGTGCTGCTGATGCAGCCTTTTAGCCCAGTGATGAGAAGAAGAGCTCAGAAGCTCTCGTGAAGAGACTAGTACTCTGAAAGAGTACGAGCTTGAACTCTGAGGGTTTGTGTTTGAAGCATGTAATTTGTCTTGCATGGGAATACGAGTTCCCAAGCCGAGCTTGCAAGCCAGAAGGTTGCAGAAGAGCTGTGACCAAGCTTCCGCTTGACTGAACAAACTTTGGCTCAAGGCTTCAAGTGTGAGTAAAAAGGTGAGGCGTGTGCTCGCTGTCTGCTGCGCTACTTTTCACATGGTAGCGGAGCATGGTGTCTGAAAGCAGAAAAGCAGAACCCGCTCGAGAAGACAGCTTGACAGCAATGGCGGCTGACCCGACCAACGTGCCTTTACCTGGACAGGACGAAGTGGACTTTGACCTGTTTGGCCCTGCTGAAGGACCGCAAGGTCAAGCGCCTGTTCCTCCTGTAGCAGCCCAGCTGCACCCCAAGTGCAACAAGTGACTGTTGCAGGCCCCCGCGGCTCGCTCAGAGTGGTCGCTCCACTACCCGCGTTTGCGGGCCACGTGCGTGGCCAGGTCCTGGATGCCCCGGTCCACTATGGCCGTACGTTGCGATCGGCGTGGCGAATTCGCTGCCCAGGTCGTTCGTGACCACGAAGTTCTTGTCATCCCCCACCAGCTCCTGCGTGGCCCGCTTGGTGGCCTGGCCGACCGTCTTGGCGTTCTTGTTGAGCACAGCCTCCACAGCAGCCTCCGGATACAGACGTCCATGACCACCAGGCGTACCTGGTCTTCCCTCGCGTGTTCTGGCTGAAGTCGATGAGCTCCGCAGCCGAGTGGGCCTGCCTGCCCACTCCGTCTTGACCCGGCTGTCCGACAGGTCGGTGAAGCTGGTGTTGCAGACCACGTTGCCCGTGTTGCCGGCGATCACCAGGCTGAGCGACAGCTGCGTCGAGAGACTCTTCGTCTGGACCAGCGCCTCGTCGCTGATCATGATGAGCTCGCACTGGTGCGCCCCGCCGTCCCGCTCCAGGAAGACCCGCGCACTCTGGTTGTCCAGCAGCCACAGCTCCGGGCCGCTGTTGGGTGCCGCGCTGTTGTTGGACCTTGCTCCAGCCCGCCCAGTTCTTCGTCAAAATGAGGTCGTCCGCGAAGTCGGAGGTGTTGGTCACGGTGAGCGTGTTGGACGCAAACAATTGCGGGGCGGAGACCGTGCCCGAGCTCGTCACGTCGCCGCGCACGCCGCCGCTCGTGGCCGTGAAGGTGCAGTCCAGGCTCTCGCAGTCCAGCGGGCCCGTGGAGGCCGCCCCGGTGATCGTCAGCGTAGCGCCGCTCAGTGCCTCGGTGGACTGCGAAGCTCGCCGCGGTCGCTGCGCCGGAGGCAGTCAGGGTGTCCCGTCCCGCGTTGGCTGTGTTGTTGATGGTGAGGGTGCTGCCGGTCGTGATGCTCAGCGAGCTGCCCGAGACGGCGCCGGTGGACGTCAGCGTGGCTCCGGCGACGGTGCCAGTGGCCGTGAGCACTGCGCAGGAGATCGCGCCCGAGGCGTCTACGCCCGTCGTGAACACGTCCGTGCAGTTCACGTCGTTGCACAGCAGCTGGTCGCAGCCCACGTTGCCCTGCGCAGTGAGCCCGTCCAGCGTGGTGAGGGGCGAGTCGGCCAGCAGGTCCGTCACGGAGACCGACTTTCTCTCGAAGGCAGTGGCCCTGATCTGCAGGCTGTACAGGTCTAGCGTGCCCGCCGACTGCTGCACTAGGCCGGGGATCGATGCGCCGAAGGCGAGTGCAGCTTTGCGACGAGAAGTCCAGGCGCGCCGTGCTCCAGACTCCCTGCGCGGCCGTGCCGAGGAACTGACGTACATCACCAGGTTGGAGGCCGTGCCCAGCCGGTACCGGAAAAATTAGCGTCTCCCCGGCGTCAGGGTGTAGGTGCGCACGATGTTCCAGGCGAAGGCGCTCCGGGGCATGGCGTAGCCCTCCAGCTCGAAGCCTCCCACGTGGGCAGGCAGCTTGGCTTTCAGCATCCAATCGCCGCCGCGCGATTGCCTCACAGAGGGCAGCAGCCGCTGGCGCACGGCCTCGGGCGTGAGCTTCGCGTCGAAGACGCGCTCGGACGCGGCCGCCAGCTGCTCGACCAGATCGGTCTCGGCCCGCTCCCAGAAGAGCCTCGCGCCACCGTGAAGCTGGCCGAGGCCACGGAGCTCTGGCTGTTGGAGCGCACTAGGAAGTTGCCCAGTGTGGTCAGGGTGGGCTCCAGCAGCACCTCGCCCAGCATAGCCAGCGTGACGTCGTCGGGCCTCCAGAATTGCGTCCAGGATCTGGGTCCACCGTTCCTGCCGTCTGGTTGGGCAGGTCCGGCGCCTGGAAGTGCGCCCCGAAACCCCGTTCGGCGGCACGGTGAAGTACATCTTGGCCGTGCTCCAGGCGCCCTGGTCCCCCACGAAGCTGCCGTACAGGGGGTCGTAGACGTTGTCGGCCTCGGACAGTCAGGACTGCGCCCACGATATTTTTGTGGCCAGGACCACGCTGCATCCGCTGCTGGGACGAACCGACCAGTTTGCCAGGGAGACGTCCGTGGGGCCCAGGATCTGCTCCCCGATGGCGGCCACCACCTCGTCGGCCCCTCCGTCGTCCGGGAAGCGCACGGCTATCTCCAGGGCCGAGGCTGCCTCCGTGACTCCGAGCTTGCCGGCCAGGAGGCCGTTTATTTGCGCGATGGTGTAGTAGCTGAGCAGGGCGGCTGCGATGCTCGAGGCCGTCGCCGTGTCCTGGTCGGCGGCCGAGCGGTGCGCCACCAGCGCCGAGGTGATCTGGTTGGTCGTGAACACGTCCTGGTCCGGGCCCGTCCGGTAGGCCAGCAGCGCGGCCGTGATGGCTGCCTGCGTCTGCGTGTCCTGCACGCTAGCCGTGCGGTAGTCGGCCAACAGGGCGTCCACTTGCGCCGAGGTG